ATCAGCAAGAATGCTTTAAATTGATCAAAAGTGTCAGTAAAGACATTTATAAAGTTACAAAATATTTTTATTTTTTTTTAAATGCTGTTCTTTTGAACTTTCTATTCTCAAAGAATCCTGAAATATAAATATTCCACAAAAATATTGTGCAGCACAACTGTTTTCATCACTGACAATAATCAGAAATGTTTCTTGAGCAGCAAATCAGCATATTAGAATGATTTCTGAAGAATCATGTGACACTGAAGACTGGAGTAATGATGATGAAAATACAGCTTTGATCACATTTTAAAATATATTCACATAGAAAACAGTCAATTGAAATCGCAATAATATTTCACAATTTTACTGTTTTTACTGTATTTCTGGTTAAATAAATGAAGCTTTGGTGAGCAGAAGAGTTTTCTTTCAAAAACTTGTTATTGACCCCAAACTTCTGTACAGTAGAATATAAATAATTATATATAATATGTAAATTATATTCAACATTGTAGTATATTAATGTATGCATATTTAAACTTATTCTATGCATTTATAATAATCTTGAATTAAGCTTTTTCACTTAATGCATTACAAACATACTTTGTTTCTAATAATAAACAACACTGCAGCAATACAAATTATTTACAGTATATATAAACTTATTTTGCCATTCTAAAGTAGCTCATGCAAAAGTCAGTTTATTTGTATACCAAACGATTTACCCAATGTTTACCATTGCTAAAGTGAAGCTCACCACTGATTCTTTAGTGACATACAGCTTTGACTCTTAAGCTATCATGCCACAAGACATCAATCGCCTCCAGTTCAGCTTCTCGTTTTTCTTTTTAGCACAAGAGCATATTGAGGTCACTAAAGCAGCTAGATGGGGCTTATTCAGGCCAATAAAAAAGCATCCACATACAAACACACACATACTGAAATAGTGCTGCTAAAGTGAATGTTAATTTGGTGGCATAAAGACACAGCTGGTACTGCGAGACGTGAACATTGTGTCACATTTCAGCAGCGAGCACGCACAGAAAGAGCTCTCAGCCTGAGCCCTGTTTAAATATGAGTAAGCGCTATTGAAAAGGCTATTGATCTGCCTATGATTAGCAGTCCATTCATGGCCTTTGCTGTGGCTGTTGGCCCTCGCTTCCTTATTGACTCGCCGTGATGGACTGACTTCGGCCCATTCAAGAGAAGCCCGTTCACAGTGGCCGACTGAGATAAGATTGAAACTTCACTGCTGTTTCAGGGCTTTCGGTTGATAAGATTGTTTGGAGGTTTCTAATGAAAGCAAGAGTCACTCATCAATAGAAAGTAAAACTTGGGAGTTCACAGTAGATTGAGGATATACTTTAAGACAAAGGACTACAAATCTGAGCATTTGGTGCTGAGTTTAGATCATGCAACAGATCTTGTGCACTAAAGTGAATGCACTAATGCTTTTTAACATTTATTTGCTCTGGAATGCACTGATGCATCGGCTCTGTTTCAAAGCCTGGCAATGTGCAAAAAAATAACATGTTTCAGCATTAGTTAATTGCATTAGGTATAATGACCTAAAAATGAACAACATTTTTGCATTATTTATTAAACTAGGCTAAAAATGCATTATTTTTAAGTGTTAATTCAAGTTTGTTCGAATAAATTAGCTAATGTTAATTTAGTACATTAAGTAAGATTTGTTTGGACAATCTTTTACTTTATTAAAAATCACTGGATAAAATTAAAAAAAAGAAACAACATTGTTTTCTTGTTTCTTTTCATTTGTCCAGTGATTTTTGATAAAAGGAGAGCTTGTTTATTTGAACATTTTACAACCTGGATATTTTAGAAAAAAATAATTAACACAGATTAAACAAGATTAATAATTGTTGTAAAAGAATTGGTCATTATTTAATGTTAACTGCTGAATTAATGAATGTTAACATGTTGAATCTTATTGTAAATAATTATGGTAACACTTCAGATTAGGGAACACTCACTATCAACTAACACTTTTGTCTCAATAAGATCCTAATTTGCTGCTTATTAATAGTTAGTAAGGTAGTTGTTAAGTTTAGGTATGGGGTGGATTAAGGGATCTAATATATGGTCATGCAGGATAAGGCATTTATACGTGCTTTATAAGTACTAAGAAAAAGCCAATATGCTAGTAATATACAAGCTAATAAGCAACTAGTTAATAGTGAGAACTGGTCCTTAAAGGACTACTATTTTTGAAAATAGGCTCATTTTCCAACTCCCCTAGAGTTAAACAGTTGAGTTTTACCATTTTCGAATCCATTCAGCCGATAGAATGAAAAGTTGCGATTTCAGGCGCTGCGTAATATCATTGCGCCTGCTGCACCCATGGTACGGCAGCAAAGTTCCTTGATTATTACGCCGGAATGAGAGTATAGTTCCTAGCCATATCAGCCTAGAAAATCACAACTTTTCGTTTTCTGTCGGTCTTAGTACACGATGTAACTACAGAAGAGTCAAGTTTTAAATAGGAAAAATATAGAAACTCTTTGGTCATTTTTGAGCGAGATGCTAACGGTCTAATCAGATTCAATGATCTATGCTAAGCTACAGCCAAAAGTGCTACCGCCAGACCCGGAGATCGTCTGAATGGATTCGAAAACGGTAAAACTCAACTGTTTAACTCTAGGGGAGCCTATGAGCTAATGAACTCTAAAATGAGCCTATTTTCCAAAATTGCCATTTTTCCCCAGACACATCCTGGCTAGGATTTCTATATTGCCTAAAATATCCAGGTTTTGGCTTTGTTTTCCTGTTTTCATACTTGCTGAAGGTAATGATCGAAAAGTAGTTTGACCAATAACATGCAGGCATTGTACATAACCGACCAATCGTGGCGCGTGAGAAGGTGGGATCTACAGAGAACAAAATCTAATGCAGCATTGAATGCATCCTTTACAGAGAAGGCAAACACAGAATGCATTTTGAAATAATTATTGCAAATATATAAATATGATTATTTCAATTAATTGAAATAGACTACATGACTTAATATTTGTGTGTACAGTTTTTAGAGTGTTGCATCAGTATCTTTATAACTTCATATCATCATAACTCTATTAAAATCAATTGTGCATCCAGTTTCCCGTTTGCTTCATGTGAGACACTATGTATGACACACATCTGTGCTCCAAATCTGTCACTTATGAGCCTCCATTTCAGTTAGGATGCATCTAGATGGTAGACAGCACTGGGTTGTAGAAAATAGGCCTAGAATTAGACAATGTGAAGAAAGTTTGTAGACTGAACATGCACTTCACTGTGCCCTAACATGTCTTGTATTCTGTGTATATTGTTTATTGTCTAAACTTTTGTATTATTGTATTTGTACTACATATATTGCACTGCTAATATGTGATACACAAAACGACCTTTCTGTATATTGTTGTTATGCTGGGAACGTTAATGCTGAATCAATGCCAGGACCTGTACAGAAACATAACTTCATTCTCCCATATCTGGGCTGAATGACAATAAAATGAACTTGAACGTATTTGCAAATGTCCCTGCAAAAGAACTTAACTTTAATAGCTAATAATAATATAATATAGTTCCAATATTACTCAAATTAAAACAGTATTATTATTAAAAAGGCATAAGCTGAAGAATTAAGAAACAATCATATGCAATGCAGTATAAAGCCAAGATACCTAGGTCTTCTGTGAGTTGCTAAAACAGTGCATGTAAGTGTGCCCAGAGACGAATCGAGCATTTGCCAAGCCATCAGCCTGTTATAGAGAGCTTCACAGATGACGCGCACTGTGCTAGATAAAACTCAACAAACAACAATCTGAGCAGATCTGTCGTATTTTTGAAGATGTTTAAACTTGTTATGCAACACAGTGTTCAGTTATAAAACTTTCAAGTCATGCATATACAAAAAAAAAAAAAAAAGCATTTTGCAGAAAGTTCAGAGGTAAGAATCAAATAAATGCAGCTGAGGGTAAATAAGAGGGGCTTTCAACAGTGCAGACAGATACCAGAAAGAAGAATGATAGAGCTGGATGCACAAACAAAACCAGAACTGAGCTGAATCTTAAAATCTGCTCGATTCAACCCATTACCTTAAAGGTGACTGTGTGATAAGACTAAAAATGTGACTCGTGAGCATATGATCGACTGAAACCATCACCAGCTGCAAGAGTTTTTCAAACAGCTCAATTCACATCTGATGATACTGTTTCACATCACACAGAATAGCCAGACAGCTGCAGAAGCAAATTCAGTTTTTACAAAAAGGCAGACATTTGCAAGTAGTTGCTGAAAAACAGCCCAAATAATGCTTATATTGACCTCATCAGATGGTTAAACAACACATATTTGTATTCACACAGCACTTTTTTAGCAATGCAGACATTTTATTCTGGTTTTTACTGAAATTATTCTTGACCTCATTATGGAAATGTTCCATCTAGAGGCCAGGAGAGCATGGGAAACCACCTTTCAGCCTCAACCCAGCTTTACAATCAATATTCGTGATTCACCAGCAGATCCACAATAGGAATTAATGTAGCTAGCATTCTTAAACAGTTATTTTCGTTATTTAATAAAACCCAAGTCAACTGCACACTAGAAAGCAATTCAAAATTAGAGCAAAACCAACAATTATCAGTTTTTATAAATGCAGTTATCACTCTGGGCCTGTGTTTAAAGCTATATACAAGATAAGACTGACAGACAGTGGTCATTTAGAAAATAATTTCCCTTCATTAAGTGCTTATAAGCTAAAATGCATCAACTACATAATAACCTCATGGCTGTGTTCCCCAGAAATGCTGCTACAGTATGTAGCCAGCTCACTAGGTTTGAGACACAGCCCAAGCCCTCACACTGTGTTTCGGCTCATCAGACAGAAACACACGAGCACGCTTACAAAACAACTGACACACATCTCAACTCAAACTACACACATAGCCTGACAGGCTCTGATGTTCCCTCGTCAATATCTGATCTGAGACTAGAAGGTTCAGCAGATCGAGGAGTTTTACCTCAGATGTTCGGAGGACTGTTTCCTTCGCTCTTGAGAAACATTAAACTTCCCAGCGCCGCTCCTCGTCTCAATGTGAGCTCAGGTCTGGCGGTGTGTGAAATCAGCAGCACAGGAAACACGCCGCATTTCTCCTTAAAATCACTTTATCTCCGGCGAGCGCGAAAACAAGCCACTCTGAGCTCCATCACTGCGAGATTCATCCGCGAGGAAAGCAACACAAACACTGAGAGGGAGGTAGGTGTGTGTGTGTGTGTGTGTGTGTGTGTGTGTGTGTGTGTGTGAGTGTGGGTGTGTGTGTGTGTGTGTGTGTGAGAGAGAGAGAGAGAGAGAGAGAGAGAGAGAGAGAGAGAGAGAGCGATCGAGATCAGCACCACGGACAGCGACCCAATTCATTCCGTTTAGACGTTTAGCAAGTAAATAAAACATGAGTACAAAAAAAACTACTTTTTTCATCTTTATTCTTTTTAAATCTTCAAAAGCTTGAAAATAATATACTTTTTAATGGAATACTTTACTCAAAAATTTAAAATTTGTTGTCTTAAAATTCGTATGATTTTCGTTCTTCAGTGGAACGCAAAAGATGTTTTGAAAAATGTTCACACTGCTTTTTTTCTAAACAAATAATTATAATAGTTATATAATGATTATAATACCAATTTATGCTTCCAAACTCCAAACGGCTTAAAAAAGCAATAGTTGACTTTTTGTTATTAGTAGTTGCTACAGGAAGCGTGCGGAACCATCTGCAAGGCTTTATTAACAGAGACGTGGTCAAAACCTTTATAGCCGTGACAGGACAGACAACGAGTTCACTGACGACCTCCTTGGCCGGAACAGAACAGGACGAGAATTCACAGACGGCCTCCTTAGCCGTGACAGGACAGGCAAAGAGCTCACAGATGGCCTCCTTAGCTGTGACAGGACAGGCAGAGAGTTCACAAACGGCCTCCTTAGCCGTGACAGGACAGGCAAAGAGCTCACAAACGGCCTCCATAGCCGTGACAGGACGGGCAGAGAGTTCACAAACGGCCTCCATAGCCGTGACAGGGTAGGACGAGGATTCACAGACGGCCTCCTTAGCCATGACAGGACAGGCAAAGAGCTCACAGACGGCGTCCTTAGCCGTGACAGGACAGGCAGAACGCTCACAAACGGCCTCCATGGCCGTGACAGGACAAACAGGAAGTTCACAGGTGGGTACTACTGACACCTCTGGAGGTTCTGCAGCGGGTGCCGCCACCTCTGGAGGTTCTACAGTAGTGCCCTCAGGATACAGGGAGAGTTCGGCAAAGGTTCCTTCAACCTTGACATGACAGGTTGAAAGTGCATTTCTGGGCGCCACCACCACGCAAGGAGCTGAAGCGAGCACCGCCGCTTTGGGAGATTTTGCAGCATGCGCCGCCACCTCTGGAGAAACTGCAGCGGGCACCATCGCTTCGGGGAACACAGCAGCGAGCACCACTACCTCTACCCCTTCTGCAGCTTCAGCCGCCAACTCTGGAGACCTAATAGTGGGCAAGGGTTAGAGTGAGTGGGTTTGGGGATACCAGCTGTGCGTGCAGACACCAGTGGTGTATCCCTCACACTAGATACCAGACTGGGATACCAAATGACTGACCTTGAAGCTCTGGGTGCAATAGACAGGACATGACAAGACTCCTGACGATCAGCTGTGTCCTGACGAGACTCAGGATAATCAGCTGTGACGTGACGTGATTCAGGATGATCAGCTGTGACGTGACTCAGGAAGATCAGCTGTGACGTGACGTGACTCAGGAAGATCAGCTGTGACTTGACTTGGTTCATGAAGATCAGCTGTGACTTGACTTGACTAGATCAGCTGTGACTTGACTCATGAAGATCAGCTGTGACTTGACTCATGAAGATCAGCTGTGACTTGACTCATGAAGATCAGCTGTGACTTGACTCATGAAGATCAGCTGTGACTTGACTCATGAAGATCAGCTGTGACTATGTGATTTGACTTGACTCATGAAGAACAACTGTGACTTGATTTGACTCAGGATTGGCAGCTGTGACATAACGGGGCGTTGTTGTGTCCGCCATTTTGTGAGTGTGCTCTAGTGTGGCCACCATTACACGAGTGAGTGCGAGGTCGCGTTCCTCCGTGACGCCCACAGTGAACGTTGAACCAACAGTCAACAAAGCATAGTCCATAAAATCACTTAGAGATGAACGGGGACTCTCACGTATTAGTCGCGATTTGAGGGGCTGGTTAATGCCCTCACAAAATAAGTCTATCAGCACACAGTCCGGCAGATCAGAGAAACATGCAAGATCTAAATACTCTTGAATATAGCTCTCGAGCGATCGGGTGCCCTGCTCGAGAGCTAATAACAGTCTTGCGGTGTCCTTACCTGGCCAGTGTCGTTCCGGAAAGCCGCTGGATCCTTGTGGGGCCATGTATTCTGTTACGGAGGGAACACAGGAAGCGTGCGGAACCATCTGCAAGGCTTTATTAACAGAGACGTGGTCAAAAACAGGCATAGGTCAGAAAATGGCAAACAGGTATATTGATGGCAAGGCAAGGCAAGAGGGATAATCCATGTACAAGGCAAAGGTCCAGGCAGGGGTGAACAGTATCCAATTGGGCGAGACTCGAGGGATAATCCAGGTACACAGGCAGTGATCAGAACACAGGGAAACAGACAAGACAAGACGAAGAAAACAAGGAAAACAAGATACTAGGCTCGGTAATGCAGCTATCGCTAGATGAGTGATAAATGCAGAACAATACACGGCGATCTGAACAGGAACTGAGAGGAACAACTGTGACTTGATTTGACTCAGGATTGGCAGCTGTGACATAACGGGGCGCTGTTGTGTCCGCCATTTTGTGAGTGTGCTCTAGTGTGGCCACCATTACACGAGTGAGTGCGAGGTCGTGTTCCTCTGCGACGCCCACAGTGAACGTTGAACCAACAGTCAACAAAGCCCATAAAATCACTTAGAGATGAACGGGGACTCTCACGTATTAGTCGCGATTTGAGCGGCTGGTTAATGCCCTCACAAAAGAAGTCTATCAGCACACAGTCCGGCAGATCAGAGAAACATGCAAGATCTAAATACTCTTGAATATAGCTCTCGAGCGATCGGGTGCCCTGCTCGAGAGCTAATAACAGTCTTGCGGTGTCCTTACCTGGCCAGTGTCGTTCCGGAAAGCCGCTGGATCCTTGTGGGGCCATGTATTCTGTTACGGAGGGAACACAGGAAGCGTGCGGAACCATCTGCAAGGCTTTATTAACAGAGACGTGGTCAAAAACAGGCATAGGTCAGAAAATGGCAAACAGGTATATTGATGGCAAGGCAAGAGGGATAATCCAGGTACAAGGCAAAGGTCCAGGCAGGGGCGAACAGTATCCAATTGGGCGAGACTCGAGGGATAATCCAGGTACACAGGCAGTGATCAGAACACAGGGAAACAGACAAGACAAGACGAAGAAAACAAGGAAAACAAGATACTAGGCTCGGTAATGCAGCTATCGCTAGATGAGTGATAAATGCAGAACAATACACGGCGATCTGAACAGGAACTGAGAGAGTGTTAAATAGAGTGTGTAATGGCTCTCAGGTGAGCGTGTGATTAGTGACGGCTGTGTGATCAGTGAATTCAGCTGTGTAAGTGCAATGGATGATGGGAACTGTAGTCCGGAGTGACATGTAACAGTCTGTGTAGTGTGAGAGTCAATGTAATGGTAGAATGACCTCTAGTGGCAATCGGCCGGAAGGCCACAGACCGGATTCGTGACAGTAGTAGTAGTAGTAGTAGTAGTTACTACTGCTGTTGTTGTCCAGGCTGGACTATTATTGTAATATAATCTATTTCACATGAATTCTTTTCTAAATGACAAGTAAACACAAAACAAACTATGGTTGAAGTTATATAATATAAAGTCAAATATTATATTTCCTTAAACCTGAAAAAGAAAAGAAAAGACTGACATTCTGACAAATTTCTAAACTTGCCTCTCAATGGCACATAAAAGCAAAAACTGTGGTCGGTCACTTTTACATGTCAATAATATGGTGTCTTCCTCACTAAGTGAGTGGTTCTGGGCCAAAATGATCTGCAATGTGTTCCAAACCTTATGCTGTTATTCAAAAGCCTGATTAACAAGCCCATGACAGAAAGAACAGGAGGGACTCTATTACAGGACAGAAGCAGGAGCATTTTAATGTTTGTACATGTCAAGCCAGAATTAAACTGTTACACATGGGACAGAAGACTATTGATAATAGTTTGTTCTGTATATTTAACAGTCTCTTCTTCAGGTCTAGAGTAGAGTGGAACCAGAAAACACTCTGTTTCGTCTTTATTTACCTGCAGAAGCGTGTGACACATATGCGGAAGTCTTCTGGGAGGAGATGTTGGGAATAATATGTCAGCCATGATCTGAGGAGGTGACTGTAGCATTTGACTCATTTGAAGTGATTCAATGAAGTGATGCTTGATGCATCTGGATGCAGTTATTATATACAGAGTGAACTGGGTTAAAGTAGGTGTCTAAATTAAGTGCACAAACAAATCTGAACAACTATATCAGTTTATTTCCAGAGATCCTGGAATATTGCAGACATGTACCACGAACATGATACTTTTTTGAAATGTCTTTCCATCATTAAGTGTCATGTTAGATTTCCTATTCGTATTGTGCAACACTTCTACTCTGTAACTAAAGTAAAAAGAGTATGTTTGCATTGTCATTTAAGGATATTTATGTACATATTCACTGACTTCTTTATGCACTCGGGGTTCAGTCTTTCCCCAGTTTGATGCTGAACAAAATGTTTCCCATCTGACCCAAATAAATGAAACTTGCTCTCATCACTAAAGTGGACTTTGGACCAGTTCTTCTCTCTCCACACAACATGTTCCTCAGCAAAGGTGAGCTTAGCCTTTAGATTCTTTCTGCTGTTGAGAGGTTTGGTCACTGCAGAGTGTGCTTTCACTCCGGCTTCTCTTAAACGTGCCAAGACAGATCCTTACCCTGTTCAGCGCTGAACTGGCGAGCAATTCCAGCTGCAGTGCTGAACCGATTCCCCATTGAGCATCTCCGCATTATCCTGTCTTCTCGTGCATTTGTCTTACAAGGATGGCCAGCCTTTTTGGGGGACTTGAATGGATTAGTGCTATTGTAAAGCTGCAGTATTCGTGAAATCACAGATTTAGAATGACCA